AGCAGTGACACTCACATCAGTGAAATGAGGAGCCAAGAGCTTTTTTGTTTAGAAAAACGAAAGGCCCCTGTGGATTTTTCTCCAGCACAGCCTGAAGCCCTCCGGTGGGACAGATGTGCCTGTTAGAGCATGGATCAGGGAACACACCGGTCATTTGGTTCCAGCCTTTCATGCATGGCAGATCTACATGTGCACCCATTGGACAGCTGGGTGTTGACCAGAGCAGTCTGGGAGAAGGACCTTGCTCAAGGGTACAATAGCAGAGTCTCTCCTGGGATTTACAGTAAACCCACAAACCTCTAGTTATGAACCCACAACTCTAATGACTTACTCAAGTGCAGCACGTTTTCCTGTGGCATTGTGGGGATTCCTGGGCATCAATCTGTAAATGCAAGAAACATTTTGGATTTTATACATAAGGGGTTATATATAAGATTAACATTTCAGTGCTGTTACAGCTATAGAAAAATGGGATGATTCACGATTGTCTGCGATGTTCCACATGGTGCGTTAAAGGAAATGCTGTATCTAGCTCTCCTTAATCCAAGACACGTTCTTTACAATATTTGGAAAAGAAAGAAAGACAAAAGCCATATGAGCACTGACAAGTGGTGATCAGCTGCAGGAGAGCTCCTGTCTTTACCTTGCCAAGGGAGTGTGTGACTGATGACTGCAGACAAGGCCTCTCTCAGCCCTCAGCAACAACTGTCAGAGCATCTCTGAAAAGCCAGATTCACTGGATACTCTGAGGTAAACATTCAGGTTGTAGCCCAAAGTGTAGCTTTTAAAACATTCATAACCTTACAAGTGACTTCAGTTATAATCTGTAGGACATCAATAACTATTTTTCCAAGGGTCACACAAATCCAGAAATCAATTTCAAATAGATGTTTAGATTTGTTTTCAAAGTAGTTGCTCCTAGCATCTTGCGAAGGGGAGCAGAAACTCAAAAAGGTGGAACAGAGTTGGAATAATTGCGGTCTGAAAAGTTAAGTAGGAAAAACAAAGAAAAGAACAAAACACTCCAGCAATAAAATCATATTACCAAATTCACTAAGGTATAAATTGCCCGGACATTTAATTAGGTTATCTGGGAATTCACAGGAAGCTCAACCTAATCTTCTGCGTCAGAGGATTAATCTCCCTATTCCATGTTAGGAATTGAGATTTTTTTCCTCTCTCTGTCTATTTTTATGTATGTTTATATATATAGAAACAGAGAGGGATCTGTTTCACTTTACAAAACAGCTTTCTCTCTCTCCAACCTCTTTTGGTAATCCCTTTTTTTTTAAAAAAAGGTCTAAAATATTTCACTCTCTCAGTCTGGATTGTATCAACAATAGGAAATGATGTTTATACATGAACACAGTTAAGAGGCATTTTACAACTGGGGCCAATTATGGAGTTTTGATCTTTTTTGGTGAAAAGGGAAATACATTCTTCAGACTGAGGCCAGGTTTGATAAGGGGGGGATGGGCAAGTGGCTTAAAGTGTAGTGTCTGTTCCAACAAAGGCCTCGTTATATACTGGAGTCTATGCAATCATCAAGCCAAGGATCCTGGAGACAAAAACAGGAAAATGGCAGGCTTTGGGGCCTAGGAATCAGGAGCACAAAATCTGGCTGCAGATGTTTCTCTGTGCTCTTTAAAACATTTCGCTACACGTGTTTATTTCATGACCTGCCCTTAAATGGGCATTTTAACACAAGCAGAGAGACTTTTATACAGTTCGAATCCAGTCTGCTGTTTATCTTTCCTGGGACTTGGTGCAGACCCTTTATGGCCCTGGATAAACATCTCCGTTTTCTAAAGCGGTTGTGTTTGAAAACAGAAAAGATTGTGATGGTAATTCAAACCACAAACCAAAGGAGCTATTTTGCCCATCTAGCCTGCTTGCTTCGCTAGTAGCTAATTGATCTGAGACATTGATCCTGCCATTTTTTGAAAGAAACCAAATTATGAGTTTCAAAAGACCACCTGGAGAGCACGTTCTAAACCCACACAATACTCTGTGCAAATAATTGCCTCGTTTTGTCTCAGATTAAATACACTTTTATGCAGATTCCACTTGTGCCCACTGAAACAGAACATTGTCCCAGTGAATTTACAAGACGTGCATTTTTAAAAATCAGAGGACAATTTTGTCCCACGATGATTCAAGACAGTACCAATTAGTACTTCTCAGGTTTATATGCATGTCTGTAGAAGATGTTTAAAAATCTTCTCTTATCTAGCATTCTGAAATATTCTGTGCATCCTCACTAAAAATTAAAAAAAGTGAAAAAAATAAACTTTTTCTTTTAGCACCGGGTATTGAAGATGCTGGGCAAAAGCAATTGATCCTGGGACGATAGCTCGCCCTCTGCTGAAAAGATCGATCATTGTCAATTTAAAGCAGAATAACAAACCAGAACAAAGCAGCATGACATATTTGCTATGAGAAGTCTTATTCACTCTGAGTCCTAAGAATGATAGTGGGGTTATTCTGGATGCAGTTGTGCCAGAGGGACAAAGTACCTAGCAGAGGAACAAAGTTCAGTTCACCCAACTTAAAAAACTGTGGGGTATGAGGACTGAGGAAAAGACTCTGCTTTCATGGAGGAAAGAGGCCTCTAGTTCCTGGGTTAGAGCCCATGGGAGTCTCTTAAGTATCTTGGCACAATCCAGCGGAAAGAACCTTAAAAAACAACCTGTGGAGCGAGAGAGTGCAGAAGACTCACACAAATGGATAGGGGACCATAAGAGACGACAAGCAGGGTTTTCACAACAGGCAACCAAAATTCCACCACAGGACACTTTAAAAACATATATTAGAAAGAGGTTTTCAGACTGCAGATCAGGTTTCTTCCATTTTATATCCTCTCTGGCCGACGGGCGTTCCCTTAACGTCATAGCAACGCCTGCCACACGTGAACTGTCCTCAGAGCTGCCCCTCGAGCTCCGGATGCCTAGAGTTGCAGCCTCCCCCCATCTACAGGAACGCAAGGGAGTCTCGGTCCCCGAGAGACAGTCCTGGATGACTAGACCCAAGCCAGCCTCTGCCTCTGGGGGGCGCTCTGCCAGCTGTGTGCATTTGCCTGGGGAACCCCAGTCACGGGTACTCTTGACATGATGGCCCACAGTCGGACTTGCAGAGCTGGGATAGCGGAGTTCGGCACCTCAACTGGCTGGGTCACTCCAGGGCCCTGCATCTATGGAGAACGAGGACTCCATCATGAGCGGTCTGTTTCATCGGCTCTCGATCTAAAAAAGCTTGGACCTTAAGATCGTGACATGCCGTGAAAAAAAAAGCGTTAGCCATCAGCCTGTCACCTTGGGCAGTACAATCCAGGGCACCAGTTTTCTAGTAAGCAAAAGACTTTTTGATCTGGGCGTAAAACGTAACCCATCAGAACTGCAACTACTTGGATCCACAAAAAGACACTACTGGGAGTTTTTCACTGTAAATATTTATTACTTTAAGAAATAACACATACAACATGAAGTAGAAATAAATATATATATGTGAATACAAAACATTGAAGAGGTTTAGATTTCCTACAGTCTGGTCAAAATCAAATTTGTATTGTGTAGATACAAAAATGAATTTTGTATAACAAAGTAAAGACAAAAGAATAAAAAGCCATTGGCTTCAAGAAAAACTACACATCACACAACTTCTCAAGAAGATTCGAATTCACCCCCCCCCCCCCCAAAAAAAAGAGCAGATTTCTTACCAACGCAAGACATTTTCCGTTCTTGCTCATACAATACTTT